TGGTGATTGTGGTGTTAGAAGTAAGTAGATGTATTGATTTTGTTTCATAGTTTAAAAATAAATGATTTTTAATATTTAGTTTATTAAATAGATAGGCTGAATATATGGTAGTATATAATTTGAGTAGAATATATAAAAATTTTTTAATTGTCTTTACAGTTAGTTGGATATGATTTTGAAATATAATCGTTTCATTAAGTAGATATATGTATGCTTTATCATGTAAATTATGTATAGAGAATATTAGATCAGGTTTGAGATTTTTTGATATATTTTGTTATAAGTATTGGATGAATAATGTAATTGTGATTTTATTGTTATTGTTAGTAATTTGTAATATTATAGAAATTTGTTATAACATGTTGACAAGTTGCAAGATTTTAAAGATGTTGATTACAAACTTGTCAGGTTAGTATCTTTTATATGATTACTTGTTATATATCTAATTTTTATGGTTTTCAAAGAACTTGTAGCCTGCCCTGCATATTGAGTCTGACTGTCATTTTCACAAGCCTTTGAGTAAATAGGCTTAACTATCTGCTTACTTACATCCAACTAATAATCTTTTATATTATTAAATCTAGATAAATTTTAACTATTCTAGTAGATTTAGATTGCAAATAAATTAGAATTTTTAGTTTAAATAGTTGCTAATAATTTGAGTTTCATTTTTGTAAAAATTTTTGTAAATTGATTCTGGCTAGAGAAACTTATAATAAATTCTCAATACAAAATATTAATAAAAATAAAGATAAAACTTTATCTTAAAAAATATATATACAGTATATAAAAATATTATATTAGACTATACAAAGTTAATTTTTGGTTTTTATAACATAAAATTTAAAAATAATCTGGCAACTTAGCTTTTAATTTTATTTTCAAAAAATTTTATATATAAAAAAGCATATAAAAATTTTTATAAACTTATAAAAAAACTTTTTTTAAATAGTAAATATAGTCAAAAATTTTTTATAAAAATTTTGCAAAATTTGATTCAGCTGGGTTATAAGAACTAATTTATTAAGTTTGTATAGCCTTATAAAAAATTAAAATAAATAATTTTTATAGTTAAGATTAATTAGATATAGATATAGTATTTAGTATAAAATTTATAATATATAAATTATAAGCTAATTATCTAAATTAAACACCAAAAGTATATATATAGCCAGTATAAACTCTCTAATATAGAAGCAATTCTTTTAATAAAAATTTCTAATAATATCTAATTACTGAATAAAAATTCTAACTCCAAAGAAATTAAGTTTTGAAAAAATTATTTTAAATTTAATACCGTATCGTCGCGAAATAACGCCCCGGGGTGTTATTTCGAGACAAAAATTTTAAAACGAGTTAATAATTAATTTTGCCGAAGATTTTTTTAAACTTTAATATTTATTTAATAGTAAAGTTTAAAAAAAATCTTCGGCAAAATTAATTATTAACTCGTTTTAAAATTTTTGTCTCGAAATAACGTCCCGGGGCATTATTTCGCAACGATACAGTAATAGTGTTTAATATTTATAATATATTTTAGATTTTTTTTTGTTGATATAAAATATAAAAGTAAAAAAAGATATAAAAAAATAATAATTTTATTGGTTATAAAAAATAGAAAATTTAAAAATTAATACTATAATTTAATTGGCTAATATGATATGTTTTTTTATATAAAATTTTAAAAAACAAAAGGAGGTGAATTATGTTAAAAAATTAAATTGGTATGGTCTAATTGTTGTAAGCATTGTATATACATATTTGATTAAATACAATAAATATACAGGTTTTTTAAATGCCTTAAAATATAATAGTTATATTTAAGTATTCAAAAAAAAAATTAAACGTTCACAATATTTAATCGAGTAATTACACAATATTTGGCAAATTATTATCGTTATTTCAAGTATTTAAATTTCACCTAAATTTCGATTGTTTATGCTGTAAAACTAATTTAAGCAAATATAAACAATTACTTAATAAATCAAAATTTGACAAAGTTATTTTTTGATATATTAAATATAGAACAAAATTGGTACGAACCAGATCGTACTTAAATACAAATATGTATATATATAGTAAGAAATAAACTAGGCACAATGCATTTTTTATTTTAGATATTTGCATAATTTTTTTTACATAACGAGATTATTATGTAATTAATCATGATTAAGAAATCACACCTCAGATAGATAACATATTTACACCCGCACAGATATAATACCGTGTTAGCATTTGCAGACAAGTACATACGAGCGTACGTACGTACGTACGTACGTGCGTACCTACCTCCATAAGTACGTACGTACGCAATGCGACAAAGACAAGGGATCCTCATATAGTCATATGAGATTTATTACAATATACCTTAAAATACTTTAACAATAAACAAAGAAATAGCAGAACAATCTATTAGCGTATATGCATACATGAACCTTTATGTATACCCCACTTCAAATTTATGTATAAACCAATCGCAAGCAAAGTGGAATGTGAGACCAAGATATTGCATATCAAAATGTTTTGTCGCCCAAACATAGACAACTTATGAAATCATCAATATGCACACAATCTTTATTGTTCATAGAAAGTATAAAGATATCGATATATTGGTATCTGATACCATCCACTATCAGCTAATAACAATTTAGCTAATAACAATTTAATAACAACTAATAACAGCTAATAACGGGCACAATATTGATTAATCATTGTTACAAAATATTTTTTTAATAACAGATAATTGATACCATGAACCTTTTTTATACGTAATAATAAACAGTTCAAATACAGAAATAAGGGAAATTAGACAATCGTGATTAATTGCCTTTATGAAAGATGTTCCACGTGTGTAATATCTTTATTGAAATTGTGATTTGCAACCAATTTCAACCAATTTCAATCAATTCCAACCAATTTCAACCAATTGGAATTAAACCAAAAAATCGAGCCGATTATTTATTTAACACGTTTTTAATTATTAACTTCAATGGTAAAATTGTTATTTATGGGTTATTTATGGTTATTTATGAATTTCATGACTTTGTTTATATCACAATAATAAAATATTGCATGAATGCATTAACAACAATGAATGAATTCTCGGATTACAGGATTAAATTTTTAGAAATAATTTAGAATAATTTAGAATAATTTAGAAATAATTTAGAAATAATTTAGAAATAAGCTACATAACAAATACTATTCCTAGTATTTTTAGTGTATAATAATGATTTTTGATGCAATTATACAATTATACATCCATTATAGAATCACTACAGCATCACTACAGAATCACTACAGCATCACTGCAGCATCACTACAGCGTTATTACAGCATTACGACGAACTCACAGATGCAACACTTTTGTTAACTTTTTTATATGCACTAATTACTAAACGATGGCACTCCGGGTAGCATTTTCCGGAAATAACGATGAACAATATGTGTTCAAAAATTGATGTTATTAATATTAATAATAATGTATATATTTTTGTATACTTTAATGACGCATTATCCCTGCAGGTTTCATGCAAGATTCATTCAATAAGGGACTCGCATGTACTTGTTCATTATCTTTACGGTTAAAAAACAAAGAAAACTACCTATGTGCGTACAAACTTTATAAAATTTGCATATAAATAATCCGTACAATTTTTTACTCAACCGCAAAAAAAAAAAAAAAAAAAAATCTGCTTCGGCTTTCCCATTTTTGTCATATATAATTTTATTTTTTTTTTTTTTTTTTTTTTAGAAAAAATATAAAATAAAAAAAAAACTTAATCACATTCATTTTAATTATAATCCTCCCCAACTTATATAGATTATATAGAATTTCTTATAGAATTTTTTTTAAAAAAAGAAAAAATGGGTCCACGTCACTCTAAGCCAAAACGAAAAAGAAATTCTATTTCAGTAGCAAACAATTATAATGGCTCAGGTAGCTTAAAGAAAGAATACGATTTTGACAATCCTTACATGATTCCAATAAATGATACGCAAATCGATCGCATGCAAACACAACATCACATTCTAAGAACCATATGTAATGGGAACTTCTTGGCTCCCATCAAAGATAAATTAAAGGCGGGAAACTTTAAAGTGCTTGATTTCGGGTATGCATCATATTAATTATTTCATCTAATGATATCTAATGATAATAATTCATCTAAATCTAATGATATCTAATGATAATTCTTTATCCAAACCAAAGTTGCGGGACAGGTACATGGCTATGCGATGTGGTTAGTTTCGTTTCTTAATTACATATCTTTATATGATAGATTCATTTTACGCTCATACTTTTTTGTTTGGTTCTGTTAGGCAACTGATTATCCATCAGCAAGTTTCGTTGGTGTAGATTTTGCTCCTATTTGGCCTACACAAAAGCCTCTTAATATCCAATTCATCGTTGCAAATATAATGGATGGCTTAGAATTTGAAGTAATTAACTTTTACTTACTTTTACTTACTTTATTACAAATTCTCTTAATTCATTCATTTATTCATTAAACTTATAAACTGTTTTATGAATATTTTCAGGATAATTCTTTTGACTATATACATGCTAGGTCATTAGTAACATATTTCAATGATAATGAATGGGAAAACTATGTAATACCAGGTAAATTTACTTTACACTTTCGATTTTGTAATGTTGTAAACTGCATCCTAATCTTTATTCTTTTCCTGTCAGAACTCACCCGAATATTAAAGCCTGGTGGTTACTTGGAATGTTTTGATGATGAAGTGGTAAATAGTATTTCAAATTTTTAAATTTAATATTTCTATTGGTTCTAAATTTAAATGTTATATATATTTATATACTATTATTATTATTATTATTATTAGTTATGGTATAACATGCCTCCATCTTTAGACAAATTATGCAATGCTAGTAAGTATTTTATTAAGATACTTATTTTAATTTTATAATTTTTATGATTACATGCTTATACGCCTTTTTGAAATTAGTTCATACTGAATTACAAGCACGGCATATGGACCCTTTAATATCACGGAGAATTGGTGACTTCATGAAAGCTACTGGTAAGCTAGAAAATATCCATCATGAACAAAAAGTTGTATATTATGGTTCACATGGTGGAAAAATAGGTACGTTTAACTTTTTTATTATCGTTACTAATAAATTTACTATATCTTTATTTATCTAGTATTATGTATACTTATATATTTATTTAAATTCCTTATTATTATTAGGTGAACTTACTGCGCAGACATTTCTCCAATTCTTCGAGGGTCTTAGAAAACCTTTAATGGATATTATGAGTTTAAAAGACTCGGATTATGACAATTTAATGTCAAAATTAGAAAATGATATTAATTCTTATCGCACTTATGGTAAAAACCATAGGTTTATAGCTCAAAAACTACAAAAATAATATAATCTACTATATATACAGTATATATAATTTACTATAGAGTATAATTTTATTTAGAGTTTATATCTTTTGTTGAAAATTTATTTCTGCTGTGCAGATAATTTTCTCATAATACAGTAATAGAATTTTAATCATAAAATAATTCCTGCCCACTTGTTTGCATCTTTTACCTCTGTCAGTTTTGTGTCAGTTTTGTTTTCGCTTATTTGACATGTTTTCTTTCATAAAAATGTGGTTCAATGTGGGTCGCTTATCATTACAGCATTATTGTTACCGTACGTAAGTACGTACGTATATGCACAGCTTTAGCCCAGATGGATTGAATGCTGTATGGTTTCGTTCGATGTCATTTATTGATGTACTAGTCTCTATAATTAAATATAGTTACAAGTAATGTCTTTTATTAATTAGAATTCGGTTCCCTTTATTATACGTCCGGAATATTTGTACTACTTTAATATTTTGGCGGAAATAAACACGTCAATTACGTTATATCTTCTCCATCATCATATGAACAAAAATATTTGCTTTTTTACTATGATTTGTACTCTATCATTATCATCTTGCATTATTATCCTGCACTGATTCAGCCGTCACTGATTTCTGCTGTATGCTCTACTTCCAATAGAAAAGTTCGTGATTAACAAATCTAATTTTTGGTTAAGATAGTGCATTGTTATTTCGTTTATGTTTATGTACTGTATATAAAATTTCATGCATAGGATATGATTGGTCAATTAAACGACGTACCCCAAATTTACGCGTTACATACTTTAAAAAAAAGATGCAATCTATCCTCTCAAAGCTGGTATGCAGATTTTATACAATCTATCCTCTCAAAGCTGGTATGCAGGTTTTATACAATCTATCCT